AATTTGTAGCCCCCCTCTGCACTTTTTCTAGTGCCATAATATCCTTTTTTAGAACAGGTGCCCAAAATTGCACAGCATATTCAATATGTGATCTTACCAGTGATTTATAAAGATGAGCGGTGGATGGGGGCCATAAAGATAATGAGGGGGACATACTGTCCTCCCCCCATCGGCCCCCACCCCTGCGCAGTGGGTGGGGGCCATAAATTACAATGGGGGGACCTACGGTCCTCCCCCCGGCCCCCACCCTTGAGCAGTGGGTGGGGGCCATAAAGATAATGAGGGGGGAAGACCTACTGTCCCCCCCACCTGCCCCCACCCCTGCGCGGTGGGTGGGGGCCATAAATTACAATGGGGGGACCTACTGACCTCCCACCCTTGAGCGGTGGGTGGGGGCCATAAAGATAATGAGGGGGGGATCTACTGTCCTTCCCCCGGCCCCCACCCCTGGGCGGCGGGTGGGGGCGCTAAGACAAATCCCCCCCATCAAAGGTGACTAGGGGTCCCCAAGCCCCTAGTCACCCACCCCCCCACCCAAAAAAAAGTTACCCCCTACCTACCCCCCTCGCCCTAAAAAATAGTGAGGGGGGAATAAAATAACTAACCTGTAAAGAAAAATTCAACTTACCATTTGACATCTTCTTTTTTCTAAAATCTTCATTTTTCAGCCCCAAAAAAGGCCAAATAAAAAACCATCATACCCGTCAAACTTAAAATAAAATAAAAAACCTGAGTGCAAAAAAAAACCTGAAGAAAAAGAAAAAACCTGAGCGCAAAAAAAAAATCCATCTTTACCCATGCTGTGTAAAATGACACAGAGCACTGTGATTAAAAATAAAAAACCTGAGCGCAAAAAAAAAACCTTAAGAAAAAGAAAAAACCTGAGCGCAAAAAAAAATAATCCATCTTTACCCATGCTGTGTAAAATGACACAGAGCACTGTGATTGGATGGATTTCAAGCCACCCAATCAGAGTGCTCTTTGTCATTTTACACAGCGTGGGAAAGTTCTTTGGAATTTTCCCACGCTGTGTAAAATGACAAAGAGCACTCTGATTGGTTAGATTCCAAGCCCACCAATCAGAGTGTTATGATGGATTTCAAGCCACCCGATCAGAGTGCTCTGTGTCATTTTACACAGCGTGGGAATGTTCTTTGGAATTTTCCCACGCTGTTTAAAATGACAAAGAGCACTCTGATTGGCTTAAACTAGGGGGCTTGGGACCCCTAGTCATCTTGATTGGGGGGGTGAATTTTCAGTTAGGGCCCCCACCCGCCGCTCATGGGTGGGGGCCGGGGGGAGGACAGTAGGTCCCCCCTTTATTGTTTTTTAGGCCCCCACCCACCGCTCAGGGGTGGGGGCCGGGGGGAGGACAGTAGGTCCCCCCCTTATTGTTTTTTAGGGCCCCCACCCACCACTCAGGGGTGGGGGTCAGGGTTGAGGACAGTAGGTCCCCCCCACCATTCTTATATAGGGCCCCCACCCACCGCTCAGGGGTGGGGTCCGGGGGTGAGGACAGTAGGTCCCCCCCACCATTCTTATATAGGGCCCCCACCCACCGCTCAGGGGTGGGGGCCGGGGGTGAGGACAGTAGGTCCCCCCCTTATTGTTTTTTAGGGCCCCCACCCACCGCTCAGGGGTGGGGGCTGGGGGGACAGTAGTTCCCCCCCTTATTGTTTTTTTAGGGCCCCCACCCACCGCGCAGTGGTGGGGGCCGGGGGGTGGACAATAGGTGTCCCCCCCACCATTCTTATATAGGGCCCCCACCCACCGCTCAGGGGTGGGGGCCAGGGGGAGGACAGTAGGTCCTCCCACCATTCTTATATAGGGCGGACAATAGGGTAGACAATAGGTGTGTCCCCCACCATTCTTATATAGGGCCCCCACCCACCGCTCATGGGTGGGGGCCAGGGGGGGACACAGTAGGTCCCCCCTTTTTGTTTTTTAGGGCCCCCACCCACCGCTCAGGGGTGGGGGCCGGGGGGGCAGTAGGTTCCCCCCCCTTATTGTTTTTTTTAGGGCCCCCACCCACCGCTCAGGGATGGGGGCCAGGGGGGGACACAGTAGGTCCCCCCTTATTGTTTTTTAGGGCCCCCACCCACCGCTCAGGGGTGGGGGCCGGGGGGACAGTAGGTTTCCCCCCCCTTATTGTTTTTTTTAGGGCCCCCACCCACCGCTCAGGGATGGGGGCCAGGGGGGGACAGTAGGTTCCCCCCCTTATTGTTTTTTAGGGCCTCCACCCATTGCTCAGGGGTGGGGGCCAGAGGCTGCTCACTGTTTACTAGACATGCTCCTACTCGCGGTATAGCAAGTAGGGGCAGATCATTTACTAATACTAAGTAATCTTTACTTAGTATTAGTAAATGTGGCTGAAATACCAATTTAGGTCTTTCAGCCTTTTAGTAGATAGCTCCCTGATACCGCGGCTCAAATTGAATCGGAGTTTCATTCATTCCAATGAAATTCTGATTCGAACAAAGTGCCGAATTGAGTTCTAAAACAAACGAACCCGTTCTCATTCAGTTAGAACACAATTCGGCAGTTTCGTCTAAAATGACAGGAAGCATTGCGAGATCACAGAGGAAAGGTAAGAATTATGGGAAAATTGCTCTGACCAGCGGAAATGAAGCACACTTTGCTCCTCCGCTGGTCAAAGCTGGTCAAGCGGAGGAAACCTCCATAAGGCAAAGAGTCCCTACTTTGTCTTATAATTTTAAAAAAAACTAAAGAAGACAGGAAGAAACAGAGAACAGATCCTGAGAGAGGGGAAGAAGAGGAAGAGATTGAGGAAAGGTAAGTTCGGCATGACAGTGCCGCTTTAAGGATTCCGGAATTAGTTTCTAGTAGTAAATTTTGTTTATCAGGTTTGCAGTGGGAAGATATTATTGTTAGTAATAAGAAGGTTATGGTATTTATTAGTAAATCAAAAACTGACCAAGAAGGTAATGGCAGCTGGTTGTCATTATTTAACATTCAAGGTTCAACCATATGCCCAGTTAGAGTGACAGAGGAATATCTATTACTGCGACCAAGAGAGGAAGGCCCATTCTTATTATACATGTCTATTCTACCCCGCTAACTAAATTTCAGTTTATACATTTTTTTAAGATATGACTGGCTAAATTAGGTTTAGGCGTTATTCATCGCATTCCTTCAGAATTGACGCTGCAACGGAAGCGGCGAGGTGTGGTTTAATGGAATCATTCAAAAGCTGTGAAGATGGGATTCTAACAAATTTAAATTGTATGTCAGACCTCATTTGTTACAAAAAAAAAACGTGGTATAGGAATTTCTTATGTGTAATTGTTCATGGGTTCATAAAAGTTTGGTTTTCACGCAATTGGTGCATATACTAATATTTCTCTTTCTGTTACATAATAAGAAGCCGGCTATTGCCTTGGTTATTGGTCACTAATTTGTAGTGTGGGCCCAGAAGAGAGCATAGGAGTGCACATATGGCGAGAATCTGGGTTTGAAGAGCACTCAGTTAAAATATTTTGGAAAGGCACCCGTGGTGCTAAGTGGTCACAGTTATTGGAAATGTTGCAACAACGTTTATCAATTTTCCCTATTCAGATTTAATAATAGTACCTTTAGGAGGTAACCACATTGGAGCTACCAAATTAGTGAATTTGTTACAAGAGATTAAGAACGATCTGGTTTTTGTAGCACAAATTTTTCCAGAAGTGCATTTTATTTGGTCAGAAATTATAGCAAGACATTGCTGCCTAAAAATAAGTTATTTGAAACCGTTGGAAAGGGTGCGTAGAAAATTAAACAGAGCACTAGAGATATTTTTGACAACGTTAGAGATGCGTTCATATAGGCACATAGGTATTGAGTTGCGCAGGTTTTTATAGGAGCGATGTGATTCATTTGTCAGACATAGGTTTGGACATATTTAAATTGGGGATTCAGTTTATGGTGGAGATGGCCGTGGGCTTTGTGGGGCCACCGAATTTGGTTGCCCTGAACCTTGGTGGCATTGGGATATAAGTAACCCTCCTGGGCATCACAGGAGGGTGGATTTGGTTGGAAAGATATATTTATGGCTCCTGGCTTTAAGGGGCAGAGCCTGGAAATGGTTAATGGTTATTTGGTTTTAAAGTTATGGTTATTATTATTCTGATTATGGATGTTAAATCAAAATTGTGAAATCCCTAATATAAGTCACAGCCATTGGCCAAATGTTTTCAATTTACAAGAAAAATAAACAGTTTAAAGGAATAAGTTGTGTTTTATTTATACTATGTATCATTAAGAATGCAACATTCAAACCCCAGGCTCCCTCACCATAAACTGTTGTGTGCACTTCTTTTCCAAGCATCAATAGAGCATTGGACACAGCAGGGTACCTCGAACTGTCATAGTGCTTAGTATTATTTATGGGAACAACATTCTAGAGTCCCTACAATGAACAGAGCCATTTTAACATAACTCCTAAAGGTCCTCTTTTATCAGCTACAAAAATGAGTTAATTGTACTGTCCACCAGGAGGTAGTGGCATTGCTGAAAACTGTCTTAGAAAAAAAATCGAACCACAAAATGTTAGCCAAAATAGCTGCATTTCAGAAATGATCCAATTCAGCTGATTTTGCAACTTGGCTATTTCAGCCTACATTTTTTAAATAATGCGTTTATTGAATAAAACGTCTTATAAAGCGAGCTGGAAGAGAATGCTAAATTAAACAAATAGAAGGAGGGGAGGCTGTGAAACACGGGTTCTAGCTGGACATACGCTCATTTCCCCATTTAGTGTTAGTCCTAATGACAGGCGTACATAGGATTCTTCTCCCAGTGAAATAAAAGCAATAAAAATGTTTCATATAAGCGCGGGGACAGGGGCAGGAGACCCCACTAGCCCCTCCTTAAGGGACGGTCTTGCTAGAGAGACTGAGCAGCAGAGGGATTGGGAGGAGCTGGCTATAGAAGACATGAAATAGGCCATGCAGAAAGAAAGGGGACACAGGGGAGGAGGAGGAGGAGGAGGGCCGGCTCAGGGGGAGGAATAGAGGCGGAGAAATTAACGACAAAGCTCCCTTTCCGATAAAGATTCTGCTGCTAGAACACCGGGGATTGTGTGAAGACATTGCTAATCCCATGCTGGCATTATTGGTGCTCTGGTTATAGAGGGGCCCACGTGCTGCTCTGACCTGAACCCCATCCAGCTACCCACCGCCCCAGACTACCCTCACACGGCCGGCATCAGGGGCAGAGCAGAGGACCGCCATGGATGAAGATCGTGCAGGGGAGCAAATGAGACCTCTGCTTACCACGGTATGTAAATGTGGGGGGTAGTTAGCATGGCACCCCTCACACATACTAGTAGTAGAAGGAGGGTGGTGGGGGCTAGTGGGTGAAATAGGAGTCTGTCTCGCTGTGTAATGACGCCAGGAGTGCAGGCTGATGCCTACTATATGAGCAGACAAAAGATGTGGCTCATTGTCTGTTAGCCAGCTACTCAACACCATCACCCCTTCCACTCTTACCCACCATATTTAAAAGACTTGGCGGAGGTGAAGGATGGTAAAGTATGGCCAAGAAGTTCACTCATTATTATCATCCCAGATGTTATACCCTCCTCCACTATTTAACCCCTTGAGTGCCAGGTGACTGCACAATATCTTGGGCACATCTCTAGCACCCTCAAAGGGTTAATATATGTGTGGGCACTAACGATTGCTTGCTTGTGGCTCAGAGTTGTGGTGCTACTACCCCTTGTTACCATTTGTGGCTGAAGGTTTATAGTCCTGTTGCATGATATGTGTGCCACGTGAATCGGGGACAACTTGACCCAGAGTAATCTTGCAGTTTGAGGTGGGATTAACCAAATTCGTTGTTGAATTGTTGAATGGTAGCCTGACATCTGGGGCTGAAACTTCCATTGAGTCTCTGACCCATTTGTTCTCGAAATTCTGTGAATATTCCCTGATGATGTTACAGGTGTCTATACTGCCATGCCGCCCCCCCAGCCCATGACCAGTGATCCTCAGGGGGGCATCCCTTAAATTCCTACTCTAGTGTCTGAAAGAGGATCCCTTGCTTGCAGTGCTGGAGGGAGTCTGTCCAGCACATGTGATGGGGGTTTCCTCCTAGCTGCTAGTGCACTTGGTGGCTTTTCATCCTACGTGAACAGCTTTTTGGTGGAAATGACTCACACGGAAGTTGCATCCCCTGTCTGTGTCCCTCCCCTGCAAGTATGACAGAATGAAAGCGGGGGGAGGAAAGTGTCAATGTCCTAATCTCATAGTTAGGAGAATTTCACATCAACTTCCCTGTCCTTACTCTTTTATTCTCTCACATACCTAGCCATTGAGTGTCTGAGCCATTCATGTTGTCATCAAACAGCATTTTCTGCATGCACATACATGATAACTCCTTTCTCTAATTTTTACATTTTACAAGTTCAGTAAGAAGTGATTGTGGCACTCCTCTTTCCTCTTACTATTGAATGTTTTGGAAAGAGAAGAATAGTTGAATTTTCTTCTTAGTATATATTTCTTTATCTACATAAGACAAACTTATTTTGTTTTGCCTATTCCAAAGTCTCATTTTTGATGTTTCTTCTTCTTCTTATTATTTTTAAATATAAAATTAACTGCATTTATATAAATATAATAAATGTTCCATTTTCTTGTTTTGGCTAACAGTTTTTGCTGATGTGTTCATTTGGTAACTTTTTATGTTTTTGTTATAAATGGAAAATGCGCAAACTAATTAGCAACATTTAATGAGAGATAGAAAAGGGATTTTGGTATCCATGTCAAGTGTGTTGACATAAATAAATCAATATAAAATGGGGTTTGACTGTATGTCTGTTGTTATATATCTTGCAAGTTAAATGTTTATTTTCATTTATAATTTTTGATTTCAAGAGGATTATTACATTTTTTATATTTTCGTTACATCCTTGTAGTGTTCTTTTTGATAATGCCTAAAAAAGTTGCAGATTAGTTAGTAAACTGATGCTTGATACTCTGTTAAATAATTACAATTTAAAATGCTGGTCATTTGAGTTGTGTAATAACTTCTAAACCCTAGACAAGCAGACACTGTTTCTTGTGGAGTCTTCACATTTCTTGTAAGTGACTCTGAAGGGAACGCACATGGTAGTGCCCAAGGGAATGGGATATATGTTTACCTAAAGCTCTTCTTCCTCTGTTTTGCCATCTTACATCCGCAAGCGTCTTCAAGAGAACAAAATAGATAGGATACATATTTAGCTGCATCCTACATATATATTCTTGATTAATAAATGCCTCAAACTGATGCCTGTTCTCCATCACCCTTGGTACAATGCAGAGAAAATCTTCCTGAAAAACACAACTTGCCCCTAGAGGCTGCAGGACACCTAGATATAGTAATAGAATAATCCCCCATTAAGCCTAACTTTTAAGAATCCTACTTTTTATGCAATGTTGCTCTCATTTGGCTATGTCTTTGGCTATGAGACCAAAGACACCGGCAGTCAACTGTTTTTTACTGGTGCCTATTTTTTCCCCAAGTTTTGTAACTCGAGCATGCCCTGTGCTAAGTGTACAATGTTCTGCGAACGCCTGAGCCACTCTGTTCAGCTTCCTCTGTTATTTCTGTATTAGATTTAAAGGCACAGTGACGCCAAACAATAGTGTGTGAAATTAATTAAACACCATGCTCTAATACTGCAAAGCAAGCTAACACTGTCAGCTGTGTAAGTGTTACTCCATGTACGACCCCACCTGTTTCTGAACATGTCTACTGTCCATACTGATATATACTGGTGGTGATTCAGCCCATTGTTGAGCATGGCTCCATTCTGCTCCTACCCCTTTAATGAGTGATACTGTTGATGACCTGGATTGTTCCCTGATTGTGTCTTCAGTCTGTCCTCATCCAGTTCTCAAATAAGACCTGATACTATGTGGGTAGTTACTGGCCAGGCATCTACCTGTATCCTGGTCTGCACCTTTACACAAGTTTTTCTTTATCACTTTATTTCCCATTGCGGTTCTAGCCTATGTAGTTGCCTTTCCCCAGTCGGGCTCTACCCTATGCAGCAGGTGTGCTGATCATTAACTAAGTCTTAGTGGCCGCGGAAGTCAAAGTATGCAAACCATCAATTAATTACCACTTCACCTGATGTGAGCAAACCTTGTATAAGTAAATTTGTGCTAATATGTGGATTTTTCTTCTAATAGAAAAATAAATAACAAAACAAAAACCAAATCACTCATATAACCTTCACTTAGTTTGATATTTAATCTTTAAATGAAGATATGCTGATCTTCAGTATTTAGTTAAGTATGTATCTGTTCATAGAGATTTCACGGCTAATGCTCACTTTAAAACAGATTACACTAAGGATATTATATTACAACAGTGCCACACCTTGCTAAATATTTACTTCAAAAACCCATGTTTCAAGCTCATTTGCTTAAAGGAACACTATAGGTACCCAGACCACTTCATGTTAATGAAGTGATATGGGTGCAATGTCTCCCCCATTCCCATTTTAACTGCTGGAAATGATTTATTTGCAGGGTTAACCTGACTCTAGTGGTTGTCAATATAACAGCCTTTAGAGGCGCTTCTGTGAAATAGCAGAGTAAAACTATTAGAACGACCATCTGATTTGCTGCACATGCATAAATGCACTAATGAGTCTTCCAATGCTTTCCAATGGGAAATCTTGATGATCTCAGCCAAAGAGACGAAGCTCGAAGGACCCCAGTGCTGCGAGGGCTGAAAGCCCTGCAGCGCTGGCACTGTCCCCTTAACGGCGACTAAGGCACTATAGTGTTAAGATTACGTATTTGTATTCCCAAGGATATAGTGTTCCTTTAAGAACAAAAGCAGTGGACAAGCACAGATGGATGTCCCCCCATTAATATCAACCCACAGAGAGTGTATCAGTATTCAGTATGAGACTTCATTGATTTCAAATAATGTAGTTTAAAGTTTCCTTGCACAGGTATTCAGTCATTGTGTTATTATTTTGTGAGATTTCTTTGTTTATGGTTGAGCTGAAATAGAACACCATAGAGTTCTGGAGATTCCAAAAGGCTTATAGTTCATTGTACATAAAAGTGCTTACAGCTATTTATGTTAAAGGTTGTAAGGGCTATTGTTCACTGTCTGGCAGGGAAGATTCCAAATGTTCTCCTATGTAACTGTGAGACACTGTTCCTAATTGGCATTGGTGACCTGAAGATGTTTTATTTACAAAAAAGGGGTCATTCTTTTGTTTGCCTGTTACTGTGAGCAGTATGACTTTCAACATGCACGTGGAAACCCTTTACCATCATCATTGCACCCTGTTAGTAGTCTGGTACCCAATCTGAACTTAGAAAACATAGTCAATCTGTCCTGTGGGTGCATCATTACAGACACGTAACTAATATTATGCAGACACGATAAAGTATTATAAAAGGATGCCAATTGTTGTGGCTCTATGCCTCCTGTTGTCCTTGCTATTACCATGATTCATATAGTTAGTATAGGAATCAGTACCCATGATGCAATGCAGGCCCAGGCAATAAGGAATTGTACGTCTTGCTAAATCATTGATCAGTGACACATATAGTGACTAATCCAAAACAATGTTAGAACTTACATTTAAATAATTTTTTCATGGCTGCTTGAGTTTTGTAATCTGTTGCCCATATAATATGTGCATTGTGTAGGAAAAAAAGAAAACAAGCAAAAAAAAACCAGTAATACTTGTTCTGACTGGCATATCTAATAAAAAAGTTTGTATTAAACCTTTAAGTTAGTTTACATAAACTGGGTTCTTTTATTCAGAGAAATATTTAGCTAGTTAGCATACATTTGGAGCAAATACAGTAAAATACAGCTGTAAAATGTGGCCTTGGGTGCATTATATTCTGGTTTGTTTTGCTCAAATGAGGTCACAGAGACATTAAGAAGGATAATCTTAGGTGGACTAGGATTATGGTTTTTGTTGGGCATTTTACGATGTCGCCATTGAGATTGTCACACGCATAAAATACCTTAAAAGGATTAGTTGCTTGTTTAGTGACCGTTTGATTGGAAGAATTTGTAAAAGCATAGCTGTGACTTTACCGTTAGTAAACACTACACATTTAACACTTCTTTTCAATGTCGTCCTGTGATGAAATCATTGAACTCTGGAATAAGAACTCAAGATTTTCATTAGATATCACAGAAACAGAACCCAAGTTATTGATGCTCTTTCTATGCGCTATGCCACTATGCCACAAATTGAATTAAAGGAGACCCCCTCTAATAGAACAACATGTTCCATAAATAATAAACTGGAGAAGTCCGTTAGGTGTTGGCTAGTTACTTGTATGCCATATTTATGAGTTCGTGAGAGCTTCAGTACTTTTTAGCCTTTCTCCTTACACTGCTTCAACCGAATAATCAAGAACATATTGTTAAAAACTAAACTCGTAAACATATATTAAAGTAACACACTGGTGGTGGAATAAATACATTTATTTATAACGCCAGAGTGTTCCATTCTGGTTTGCGTTTCTGGGCTCCCTGTTCCTATGTAAAAAAAAAAAAAAACAATTACTCCTAACCCAGCTTGAGAAGGCCTGTCTCCTTGTTGCATCTCAATTCTGCTCCACAACATAATCAGTACTGATGATCTCCCAGACAGTCCAAGGCTTCTTATAGAATAGCATTAGTAGGCAGGGCCCATAATTTTGCGATTCGCTGTTAGTGCTTCTGATAGAGAACATTGAATCCAATGTTTTTTCAAATTAGAAGCCTGACATTCCCTTTAGGCAAGTGCTCAGTATGTTGAAGAGCGCCCTCGCAGTTGTCTGACATCTGAGGGTACCACCTACAACTTATCTTGAATTTGGCAGTTTTATAAATAAGATAGATGGGGCTCTGTCAATCAACAAAGTACGTCATCATAGGGGTATGGAGTTTTCCTTTAAGCAAGTAGTGTTTTTTTATTTGTTAGAAAATTATGTCTATGAGCCTTAAGGGATTCAAACATTTGCTTCTAATCAAATAAAGAAAATACTGAAATCATGACAATATTCTAGTTGCCAAACTATTTTATAACTAGTAGTAGTGGAATATTGAACCACAAGTGACATATATGTGATGCAGTTTTCCCCCTTAACCCCTATAAGGACCAAACTTCTGGAATAAAAGGGAATCATGACATGTCACACATGTCATGTGTCCTTAAGGGGTTAAACCCCCTTCTTACTTATCCATTCTCACTCTTTCACATTCTCTCCTTTTCTTTTTTAATCCTCATTTTGTGTTTTTTTCCTCCCTCTGTTTTTATTTTAAGCACTGCCCCTTTAATTGGGGATGACGTAAGCCGTAATTAAGTTTTTCTGTGGCTTGAAAAGGAAATGAGGTAGTGATATTTGCTTTGAAGTTACCATGCCATGGATTAGTATAAAGAACACTTATCATAAGAACAAGTATCGCTTTAAAATATTCTCGCTTCTTTCTCTAACAAAATAAAAACACACCCAAAATACTAGAACTTCTTGTAATATATCCTTTAGCAAGATCGTTATGAAATGTTATAGCTAGTAAATGTATTTATTTCAACAGTGTTGAGCTGTTTAGCACTTGAAATAAGTTGTATTTGTTTTGTTTACTTTATGCTCCCGTTTTGTATTTGTTGCTAACCATATGGCTAATGTACGCGTCCTGCTTCGTCCCATATAATTACTACTGTTGGATAAAGGTCAGCAAGTAAGATTGCGACTCATATACCAAATGTATGAATACATACTAGACTCATCGTGTTTATTATTTTATTAAATCATATCTGTTAAAAATATATTTGGATTTACTATAAAGCAATATTTTTCCCGACACATGTTTGAATAAATAAAATGGCAATATCTTCAAGATACAGTTCCTAATTTGTTCTAAGGGCAGTCATTAAAATTACCTTAGGATCCCGTCCTCTACACAGTAATGCAAAATCTCAGTTTACCTAAACTACTTTACTTTGGTACATACATCAGTTCCTTGGTTTATAATGTGGTTAAAGGACCACTATAGTGCCAGGAAAACATACTTGTTTTCCTGGCACTATAGTGTCCTGAGGGCTCCCCCCACCCTCAGGGTTCCCCTCCCGCCCGGCTCTGGGGAGAGGAAAGGGGTTAAAACTTACCTTTCTCCAGCGCCGGGCGGGGAGCTCTCTGCCTCCGATCCTCCTCCTCTCCTCTCTTTCGGCTGAATGCGCACGCACGGTAATAGCTGCGTGCACATTCAGCCGGTCTCATAGGAAAGCATTTACAATTACGATTTTCACAGTGAGAATCACGCAAGCGCCTCTAGCGGCTGTCAATGAGACAGCCACTAGAGGATTTGAGGGCTGGATTAACCCATTTATAAACATAGCAGTTTCTCTGAAACTGCTATGTTTATAAAAAAATGGGTTAACCCTAGCTGGACCTGGTACCCAGACCACTTCATTAAGCTGAAGTGGTCTGGGTGCCTAGAGTGGTCCTTTAAGTGGACACCATGGACAGTTTAGTCCAAGCGCACACATAAAAAGCCAATCGTTCTGTTACTTTTTTTTCTTTTAAGAAACCCTGAGAACCACACTAATACTGGGCTGCATAACTCATGATTAGATCATATCTTTAGTCATCTACTACTAGTCCACCGAAATAGTTGATGCAAAAATAGTCCAGTTTTCTCAGCAAAACTGCTGAATTAAGCAGTGATGGAACTGCTCCAAAATGTTCCTTTTAGACCCATACTGCATGGGAAACGACAGGCTCTTTCTTTCTCTTTTTTTAGGTGCCTCCTGATGGCATTTCATCTCTTAAAAAAGAACATTTATAGTCCTTTTCAGTCAGTCAGTCAGTCAGCCAGGTTACAGGAAATAAATTAGAAACCACCCTATTTCATGTCCTAATTGATTTTGTCATGGCATCTGACAAGGTCGATTATTCCAATCCAGCCCATTTGTAAATTAACTCTACATTTGACACCATTGACAGATTTTAATACTGCATTTTAACACCAACACAAGCTCTTTGGTACAGTTATTAATTAGTGAAAATCACTCCTGTTATCAGATCAGAGATTGCCATCTAAAATATCCTTAATTTCTTCAAAACTGTTAACTTGCATAGTGCACATTTTGTATTATTTTAAATATATATGTTAACCACTACAGAATATCCATCTTGCTGCTATGCAGATTATATATATCTATTTAATTCTCTTTCACTAGGAACTGTGGATCTTGGGAACATATGCATACCTCATGCTGTCTGGAGTCCGTCACTAGTGGGGCCCCTAAAATGGGCCAGTCCACAGGAAAGTAAGCAAATCCACCCACTGAAGGGGTGTGTGAGCCTCGCTTGATGTCAAGCTCGCCAGGCTCACCTCCTGATGACCAGCCTTGCTTGATGTCAAGCTCACCAGGCTCACCTCCTGATGACCAGCCCCCTTCATACACGATCAAGAGTAAAGCATTTCTAAAGCGCTCTGTGCGTGGTCCTAATGCCCACAGCATTGAATGATGTGCTGCCTGGGGCCAGTTCCCTGGTGTACCAAAATGTGGGACACCAGGGAACTAAAACAAGACAGGACCCCGAGATTGGGACTATCCCGACGAGATAGTCCCAATCTCGGGGGACTGACCCTAAAACTGTGCCTGACCCTAAAACTACAAGAGAACAGGTTTTCTTTTTTATGCTGCATTTGGCAGAGCCAGCTTTAACATCTGTGTGACATTAGGAGGGCCGGAGCTAGAAACAACCATGTAACATCACGTCGTCCAGTAGTTCGAATGTGACTACAAACCCTTATTCCTAACGCCATACTGTCCTAGTGGCCGATTAGGTTTAGACTTGATAAAGAGCTATTTTAGTTGAAACTCTTCCCTTTCTTGTCCAATAAAGTCTACTTTGGATTGACCATTAAGTGCCCAGACTTTTCTGTTTGTTCTTATAGTTTATGTCCACAGACAAAGGAGAAATTAAACTGTGTTTACTTCTTATGCTAGATTGTGATGTCATTTGTTAATCTTTAATATATATTTAAAACAAAACAGAGCATCATATGAGAGTAAGTTGAAAGGGACACTATAATTGCCAAAACTGCTCAATTCCCTGCCATTAGGAGTTAAATAACGATTATTTCTGTTTATGTAGCCCTAGCCATACTTCCCCTTGCTGTGCATGAAAAAAAGTTTAATTTTCTATCAGATGCTAACTTGCTTAAGAAGTTTTTACCTCCTGCTCTGTAAATTGAACTTTATGCACACACAGGGGGCCCCTGCAAAGTATAGCAGTCAATCAACAGTGCAGGCCATAATACATTCTAAATTTAACATACAGTGCAATAAAGGTTTGAACATTAGATTTCTCTTTACAGGAAGTGTTTAGGAAGGCTGTGCAAGTCACATGCAGGGAGGTGTGACTAAGGTGCATAAACAAAGTGATTTAATTCCTAAATGGCAGAGAATTGAGTAGTGAAACTCTAAGGCCATGATCTATACACCAAAACAGCTTAATTAAACTAAAGTTGTTTTGGTGACTAGAGTGTTTTAAACTCAAATTGTAGGTATTTTTGAAGGTTTTATTTAGTGGGATAATTTCTCGAGAAATTACAGTTTCCCTTTAATGGACTAGTTGATCAGAACATAGCAGCAATCACTGCTAATTTCAACAACATAGCTGCAGTGTAGTATCCATGGGATCGAATAGAAGTTATCAACCTCTGTCAACCAGTACTTTGGTTTAAGTATCTGTACTCTTAATTTCGCACTTGGTATGACACACATGTCCATTGAGTAGCAAGAGTTATGTTCTAGTATAAGTATAACCTGCAACAAAACTGACTAATCCTGCCAAACAACCCTAGCATTATCCCTAAGTAACCTCACCTTAAATGGTAAAGGTGTTTTAACCTGTTTACATGTACTGTCACTTATATGAAAATTACACCATTGGATAAAAAAATGGAAATTACCTATAACTTACCTATGTTTTTTCTTATAAAACTGTTTTCTTCTAAGTGTTATATCAAGACACAATTGACATTACAAAAAAGCTCAGTCCTTGCACGGCCAGGTGGCTCATTGCTTTAATAGTGTTTCTCCAAGGACAATAACTACTTCAGTGATTTGAACTGGTCATACTGTCTGAAGTCTGTATGTGCAGTATTTTGCTTTGAAACACTGCACTTGCAGATATTAACTCCTCTGCTACTGAATGTGTAACTCCGCCTCCGGTGGGTCACAGGAGTGTCATCAACCAGCCCAGAACTAAAATTCCAGTCTGTTTAATATAATTTCTGTGCAACTTTCGTTGCTCATAATTAATTGGCTGAGAGCGCTCTGCTGATAGTCTCAGCCAATGAATGCAGACTGGCACTCTTTAGGAGCGGAAAGCATGTCACCAAGCCACCAGGGAGTATTGGAGCCTGGTGAGACAAAGGTAAGGAGGCATACCGTTACTAAACAGTTTGCCCTGTTACCAGGGAACTTGGGTCAGGGTACTCCTAGTATCATAACCACTACAGCGGACTGTACGGTGGATGTATACACATCAATGCATCTCTATGGGGAACGTTCAGCACCTCCATGCCGAGCGTGGAGACGCTGAATGTAGGTGCTGCAAACTGTGGAAACTAGGAATCAATATAAACACTGCATTTTCTCTGAAAAGTCTGCAGGGACAGGCTATAGACACTAGAACCACTACATTAAGCTGTATTTTGATGTTGAATATAAAGCTTTGTAAGTTGAAAAAAAAAACTGGCTCCTAACTTTTTTAGCTGTCTCCTAAATTCAAAGCAAATTTGTAAAGCCCTGCTCTAGACACTTTACTGTAAAAAGAAAAGATGATGCAAATAACTAAGCAGGTTATAACTGAGTATATATGGATATTGGGTAGCAGTTAGCGTGAGTTACAGAAGTGAACTTAAAGGGGCATTTAAATGTTAAAATTTTATATATTTATTTTTAATGCTGGAGGGTTTCTTTTTTAATTTAGCTTTAGAACCCCTTGTTTTTATTAGATTATTTTTAAATTCTTGGTAAAAGTAAATTTCCTTATAATCCATCACCGATACTATCTCCATGTTGTAGCTTCAATATCTTATTGATTGAATTGATGATCTCTCGGCTAATCCACAGCTAGTCATAGAGAAGCTTTGGGGTCTTACAGTGGATGTACTGCAATCTCCTACATCCACCTGAATAGTGGTTCTCATATAGAAGATTTGAAACCAGGGCTTCCCTATGGGAAGCGCTCACTACTGATTTGATCACTTTCAGAGCTATTACTGATACCATTTCTCGGGAAATTTGAATTTTTATAAAATAGAACAGAAGGGACCTTTAATTAACCCCTAAAGCATTTCAGCAAGCCAAAATGCATTAGTAGACTTGAGCACATCTTTAACCGAGCAGTTGTTGACCAATTCTAGATAGAATTTCTCAAATAACAGTCTTGAGTTTTAAAACTAACTTTTTCGGAATCTATTAGCAGAACAAACCACCAGAGTCTTGTAAGAGACATTACGTGATATTATATTTACTCAGTGTTGTTTACATCTCTAGTGCCTTCTCTGATTGGCCGGATTCTCCTCACCATGTTTATTTCCTGCCCTCTGCCAGCCTTTAATTGGCTGCCCGTCTTTTACCTGCTTTTTATGAGAATATTTGTTTGTGCCTTTTTTTAATGGCAATCTCCAACACAGTGGGAAGATTTGTGACACCTTTGGTGTCTTTCACAAGATTTGACAGACAGTAGTTGGTAGAAAGGGGGGAGGTCTGTTTCTCTGCTGGGTTTCGCTTAAGAACATTGAATACAGTTTTATAACTGAAGCCCCTTTTTACACTGCTGCTTACATGAATTCTGTTGTAATTAATGTGTTTATCCAATAGGACAAATAAACATGGTTAGTAACATAGTAATAAGATAGCAGTTATTTTTTATTTTTTTTATTTTGTGGGGGTGGGCAGGAAAAATATAATTCTTCAAAGCCCCCATTAAAAATTAGTCTCAGAAAAGAAGCTGTAGCAAAATGTTTGTCTTCATGGCTTTTGCGGTTTGTCACAATTATAGTCATGCACATATTCAATTAAAGCATTTATTTTTGTTAAATATTCCACTTTGGGTTAACACAATGCAGTGTTTCAATGTCTTTGTTAAGCAACACAATATCCCTATTTTGTTTCTGTTATAGGCAACAGTCCAGGGTTTGTAAAACCATGATCCCTTGTATTGTACAGGGATCACTCACTACCTACCACTTACCATGTGAATTGTCTGATCCACTCGCATTTTGATTAATCCTGGCCCAGTACTCTATTGTAGGATTTTTGGCCTCTTTCTAAGAACTGCCTAGTTTGAGGTAAGGACTCTATTGATAGACATTCCCTGCTGGCATTATTTAGTTTCACAAACTTTTTGCCACCATTGTCTTCATAGCTTAAATTGGGTTGCAAATTAACTGTAGGATTTAGAAGTGAAACTTACATTATCAATAACGAATCCAACATCTTTCAGTGCCCAGTAAATAATTACTTTCATATCTGTCTAGCTATCTAATACGTATATTATATTTATATCACCAAGAGCAATATTTTTAACAAGTAGGAAAAATCAAGATTGTTCAAACTCTGGCACTCACTAGCTTATTGGGGAGATTGTTTCAAAAGATTTGTACTATTACCTCTTAAAAACTGTACAGTGAAGGTTTAAACATGGATTATTATAAACAATATATCAATTATATTGAAGGTAAAAAAATTCTCTCATCGTATAATATTGAATATGCTTTTCCTATACTACTTCTAATGCATGCTGCTGAACTGTGATTGTGCTCTGAAAAGGATTTTTGTTTCTGCAATGAGGCAGCATTGCTAAGGAGGCAGGGTTATGGTGCAACTTTTTGTAAAACATTTTGTAACAGATGAAGACATTTGTACTATTCCATATTTTTAATATAACAGAGGTTTCCAAGGATTGAAAATTATATGCTGATTACGACCTAGATAAATGCCACTGGAAACAAAAAATAAGTAGATATGTTCCAAATTAGACTGGTATTCACCCAGTTCTGCAAACCACTGGTTGCCATTAACACCTGCTTTTTAAAATCTGTCTGATCCATACGAAGCTCCATTTAATCTGGTGGTTTATACAAAATGCAGCACACAGGGAGAAACTTGCTGATTTGCAATCATCAGCCCAGAGCTAGCTTCTGAATTCCCTAATCAGTGCTTAACTTGGAGCTTTGAAGTGTGGGAGAGTGCAGTGAGTCTGTTCTCTGACAGATTGCTGACCCACCTTTTGCTTTGAGTCATTTTGTATATGGGGATTAGATTTCTAAAGCCAAGGTAATGTAAATCCTGTGTTTAAAGTCATGTAACTTTTTAAACCTGGAGATCAAATCAGTCTTTGTGATGTCTACGTGTCCATATTTACACGTCTCTTAAACCTTATGTGTTCTTTTCTTTTTGAAACTAGGGATTGTCTGCTCTGTCTGTTTGAATACTAGATTAATTATATTAATATCCGATTATGGTTGTATATTCTATTTTAGATCAGAATCGCCTGGCAGCAGCTGATTTATTTCTCTGCAGTGTTCTTTCCAGTTGCCCTGTGGGTAACTTGCTGTCAGGAATGCAAGACCTATCCGTGAGAAAAAGTACAGTCAGCTACTGTCTAGTAACTTGTACTTTTTAGGGAGGAATTATCTGTATATTTTTTTAATTCACCTTTGGTAAAATCTGACTACGCTATGTGGTATGTTTCTCTGAACTGTCTCCAACCTGTGCTATTGTAAACACTACCTTTGTCTTCTGCAGGTTAGCAGTATGCTCAGGATACTCAGCTGGGGCAAAGTTTCACCTGAATAACAAGGTTTTTCCAGATCTGTTACACAAGAGTATCACGCAATTCCTATTTTTCATCTACCCTTGTTGATGTCAAATTTTCAGGATTACGTGTGAACCTAGCACACAGAGCATAGTTTTGTCTCATTTCCAGGAAATGGATATAAAAGAAACAAAAGGATAGTATCGTGCTGGACGTTAAGTATTGCCTATAGTGAGGTGAAATAACACACGCGTGATCAGGTTAGAGGACTATCCGATGAACCAAGGTTTGGGGATACTAAGAGTCATGTAAATGAGAGCAAGCCAAAATGTGAAGAATACCAGTGATCAGAATTAATGTAAGAAATGGCAAATCTTAATGTACTAGAAATCTGAATTAATGAAATAACTTGCCTGTTCAATAGGTTTATAGTGTTACGTGTTAAAGGTGACACATTGATGAAACATTGGAATGTGCGTCTCCAATTCATAAAGGAGTAGCAATCAGTGCCACAGAGCATTGGTGTTAGACATGACATCAGAGCGACACACACTGAGTAACTGTAGCGTAAATTGTAGTGTTTTCGTTGAACACAATTTTTTTTCCCAGTGGTTATACATCATCACAAGACCTGCATAGGCCATATGTATGGTCTCCTTCCCTCCCACCCCCATCCCATGTTGCTGAAGGGGTTAAAACCCCTTCAGTGACTTACCTGAATCCAGTGCCGATGTCCCTTGGCGGTGGATCAGGCTCCGCCCATGCTCCTCCACCACCGATGTCGCACGGCGGGGGAGACCTAATGCGCATGTGCTGCAATGGCCCCGCGCGCACATTAGACCTCCCCATAGGTAAGCATTATTCAATGCTTTCCTATGGGGATTCTGGCAACGCTGGAGGTCCCTATGCATAGTGTGAGGACATCCAGCGTCGTTTAAAACTTTTTGTGTTTTATGAATACGGAAGTCCCTAAAGTGGCTGTCTGATTGACAGCCATTAGAAGAGGACTTAACCCTGCAAGGTAATTGTTGCAGTTTATAAAAACTGCAATAATTACACTTGCAGGGTTAATGGTGATGGGAGTTTGCACCCAGACCACTCCAATGGGCAGAAGTGATCTGCCTGGAGCATCCCTTTAATTATTTGTTTTGATTGGTGGAGAAATTCAGACATAGGTTATTGTGCATATAACAACTGAAACCCAAACCAGTTCTTATTTTCCCACTGATCACACCTGCTAAGAAGCAAATTTCTCATCTCGTGAGTCAGTATATCTGACTGCCTTGTTAGAGACGGCATGTGAGGCATACCGAGGCATACCAGATCACCGTTCCAATGCTGTGTGAAATATGTTCAGGGGGTGACGGTGGCTCTTATATTAAGTATACATCCAGGTTGCCATATTTCATCCATGCTACTTTATTTATTTATTGTATGTGATGTTTCATCTCCAAAACATAAATTATGTTTTTACTCATTAAAGTGAACTTGCCATGAGAAGTTGTGACATCATTTTTGTTTGCACTAAAACCGAGTATGTTTAAGTTTACACAGGTGTGTACACATAGCGTATCAAGCTTCATATAACATGTTTTCATAGTGATCTTTTTTATTGATAATCCGTACAAACCAAACTTCCCAGTAATTCTATTAGAGGCCACCAATGTTCCAGGATTTGTGTGCTAAAAATCCAAAGATCTCAGTGAGAGTGTTTCATTGAACCCACTTTCAGCCACATGAAACTATTTGTAATATACGTGCAGGTGTTTCTGACCAGAAAAGTTTCTGCAATTGTCTGACGTGCCAACTCAACCTACAGTAACCTTTCCACGTAACCTCTCACATTTTTGTTGATCATAGAGGGCAAGTAATTGTTTTCAGGCTTGTCTTAAATAGCTTTTTTTTTTCATTTTAGTATTAATTGATTATATGCACTATGGGATGACAGAGACATCTGATGCACACCATGTGAGAACACAGCTGATGAGAACTGGCAACATGTGGTGACAATAATTGTTTGAAGCTTTTTCCATTGCCATATTTTACTATGATTCTTCACTTAATCACTTTTATGTCTCAGTTATGTCTTCATTCAAATGCCAGCACTTTATTGATGTGTACTCCCCAAATAGTCTATGCTTATGAAATATGAAATCCCCAATTTAAAGAGAGTTGAAGATGGTTCCTCCAATTTTTGCAAGCTGTGCCATACCAATAGGTTTTGCAATCACTACTGAACTTTCAACAGAGCTGTTTAATGGGAAATGTCATCACTTCCCCCCCCGCCCCCCCCATTCAATTTTATTATTTTTAGAGCAAAGAAATGAGACAAAAACAAACTGGTACAAAAATATTTAAAGAAGACAAAAGTACGAAAAATTAGCAATTTGTTTCTAATTGCTCTGCATCCGTGTAATTTTTCTTATAAGAAGCAATGAGACTCTTTAATACTTTCATAATCAGTGGTTATGCAAATTCATTTATAGCATAACAAGCCATCTGACACGATGGGGTAAAACAAATTAAAGGGATCGTATAGTGCCAGGAAATCAAACCTGTTTTCCTGGCACTATAGGCTCCTGGAGTGCCCCCCTCCCACGGGGCTGAAGGGGTTAAAACCCATTCAGCCACTTACCTGAATCTAGTCGCGATGTCCCTCGGCGCTGGATCAGGCTCCACCGACGTTCCTCCGCAGCTGCGTAGAACTGATGCCTCATTATTCATTGCTTTCCTATGGGGAAAATCTGACACTGGAGGTCTGTGAGGATGTCCAGCGTCAGAAAACTGACCAAAAGTCTGTTTAGATTCCAGAAGCCCTCTAGTGGCTGTCTGGTAGACAGCCACAGAGGGCAGATTTAGAGCTGCAATGTTTTACATTGCAGCACTAAGTACAAAATGGTCACAGCACCCAGACTACTTCAATTAGCTGAAGTGGTCTGGGTGCCTACAGTGTCCCTTTAATGATTTCTGTGAATACAAAATTATAGTTTTTCTTTCCAGAGAAGCAAATGTAAAGTTTTAAGCACATGTAGGCAGCTCTTTCACTCAATTTTTTGTTTTCACAAATCCCAGCACAGTAATATTCTGTTCACCTAAGTAAACTATTGTATATCTTGCTGTTATTGCATCTTGAAGATCTGATATTTGTCCTGTGGTCCTCTTGGAAATTCATCACAATCTTTAAACCTTCAGTGACCTATCTCTAATACTATACTATTTCCTGGAATTATACAATACTGTATAAATGACTGATAAGCAGAACAGCTTGGCTTCTAGATTCTGCGCTAGATTACCAACACTGGCTTTGATCTTTGTATGTTTTGCTTGACGTGCCTAGAGGAATATGTATTCGGTGTTGCAGCGTACAGCTTTCACACATTCAGTGTCTGGTGTTATATCTTCTCATTATAAAGCCATCACTATAGAGACCATAAACAAAGATGTGCTTACAGAGAAACAAGAGTGTAGTACTGTAACTGGGCTCTTGTGACTTAATGTTAGATATAAAGCACAAAAGGTGATAATTTTGTTTATATTTCACTTAATACAGACCTATAATGCAAATCCCTAGGTAGGTACTATAAAAAGGTGCCTAAACGGGCTCTCAAAATCACTAGACCATAACCACTACAGCATATTATAATTAAGATATTACTGGGATGCTACATTTATGATCAATTCAGGTTTTGTTAAACAATTTTTAAATGGTTTGACAAAAAAAACAGGAGATTCTTCTGTACTTTAAGTCACCTTTTCTCTAGAATTCGGAATGACAATTAAATTAAAGGACCACTCTAGGCACCCAGACCACTTCAGCTTAATGAAGTGGTCTGGGTGCCTGGTCCAGCTAGGGTTAACCCATTTTTTCATAAACATAGCAGTTTCAGAGAAACTGCTATGTTTATGAATGGATTAAGCCTTCCTCCATTCCCTCTAGCGGCTGTCTCATTGACAGCCGCTAGAGGCGCTTGCGTGCTTCTCACTGTGATTTTCACAGTGAGAGCACGCCAGCGTTCATAGGAAAGCATTATGAATGCTTTCCTATGTGACCGGCTGAATGCGCGCGCAGCTCTTGCCGCGCGTGCGCATTCAGCCGACGGGGAGGAGAAGAGGAGGATCGGAGGAGGAGAGCTCCCCGCCCACCGCTGGAAAAAGGTAAGTTTTTACCCCTTTCCCCTTTCCAGAGCCGGGAGGGAGGGGGTCCCTTGTGTGCAGGTAGTGGTTAACGTGTGGTGCCCCTTATGATTACCAAAACTGCTCCACCCACCCCGCCCCCACCTTACCCCATCCCCAATTAAAACAGAGACATAAATGTGGTATAAACAGGCCACAGCTTTATTTATATATATATAATAAGTAAAACCAATTCAATTATGTTTAATATGAGCGTATATTTTTAGCTCAAAACCCGTCCTTGCCAACCGGACCATAATAACCTTTTGAGTACCTCTTTCCAGGGCACCTGCCCTCCCCCCTCGTCCAAGCTAATTGGCCTTCACCTTGGCCCTCCAATTCCCCATGCCAACCCCTGGCCGCTTTTCCTGGCACGGAGGGCACGCCCAAATACCAAACCATTGCCCGAGGTTAGGGGAGGGACCAGACCCAGCATTCCTTCGTCCAATGCACTCCTTTTCCACTGGTTCGGCAAGGACCATACCCGCCAGCTGTGACAAAAGAAATAAATTAGTAAGACGGAAACGGATACCAAAGTATCAACAAAGGGAGGGAGGGAGGGAGATGTTACCACGCCGTTAAATCTAAGATGGCTGAGGTAAGGGAGACAAAATGACTGGTATATAAAGGACCACACCCATCCCTTACTCTAATTGACACACCCACTTATGACACCTACACCCACCACACCCACACATGCCTCCTATCCGGCTAGCTTTCAGCCCGCCTCCTCTGGGCCTTGTGTGCAGGTAGTGGTTAACGTGTGGTGCCCCTTATGATTACCAAAACTGCTCCACCCACCCCGCCCCCACCTTACCCCATCCCCAATTAAAACAGAGACATAAATGTGGTATAAACAGGCCACAGCTTTATTTATATATATAATAAGTAAAACCAATTCAATTATGTTTAATATGAGCGTATATTTTTAGCTCAAAACCCGTCCTTGCCAACCGGACCATAATAACCTTTTGAGTACCTCTTTCCAGGGCACCTGCCCTCCCCCCTCGTCCAAGCTAATTGGCCTTCACCTTGGCCCTCCAATTCCCCATGCCAACCCCTGGCCGCTTTTCCTGGCACGGAGGGCACGCCCAAATACCAAACCATTGCCCGAGGTTAGGGGAGGGACCAGACCCAGCATTCCTTCGTCCAATGCACTCCTTTTCCACTGGTTCGGCAAGGACCATACCCGCCACTAGCGCCAGCTGCATTTAAGCCTAAATCAGCAGGCGCGACCCCCCACCAATGCCATGGCCTGTTCCAGCGCATCCTGCAGAGCTAGGTTGAAGAAATCCAACCCCACATCGGTCAGGTGGACCCCGTCCGGGCGAAAATATATCGCCGCGTCACGTTCAAATATTCGGTGGCGCACCGAAATGCCACCAACGCCGAGCACAAATTTTGACACTCTTTTATTAATTTTTACCCTGCATCGTTCAATAGCCCCCTGATCGCGCGCGCGCCCCCAATAGTTCCTGGACACTATCCCAGACCAAACTAAACAAAGCTGCGGGAACAAAACTCGCAAGCGCGCTAAATCCCTTCTAATCATTTCACCCAAACCCCAAGCAGGCAGCACCCCCAGATCATTGCCACCCAAGTGGATCACCAATACATCAGGCGCCCCTAGGAAAGTGGCCAGCTGTACAACCTCCGGCAAGAGCTGGCCCCATCTCATGCCCCGGAAACCAAACCATCGGACCTCCGCCAGCTCCCGAGGAATTCCAAGGCGTGTCCCACCCGGGCGTACCCCAGCCCGCAGATGGGCCCAATAGATGTATGAATGCCCAATCAGCCAGATCCTACGGCCGGGCCCTGTGGAGAAAACACAAGAGGGGAACCGATTAGCCGCGTGGGCCGTACGTAGGACCGAAACCTCCCAGATTCCCATCTGCCAATCCTCTGAATAGCCTGATCAGAGAAACCCAACCGAGAGGCTTCGGTTGCGGCCCCAATGCGGAAGGAATGACCCCCAAACTCCTTGCTCGGGATTCCCAGCCGATCAAGGGCCAGGCGAAATACCCTGAGAAATTGAAATCGAGATAAGTAAGCACCATTTTCATGAATTAACAGCGGGCCGGAGAAACCTGGTCGCCCAGAACTGTAAGATAGGTATGCCGAGACGGGGCAAACTGCCGAATCCGGAATGGCACGAAGGGTAACCCACTTACCCCTGCCAAAAA